TGCTACTTTTAGGTATATAATCTATTGGATTCTGGTTTTGTGTTCTTGCTTAAGATCTGGCTTGTATTAATTTTATTCAGACTTGAGGATCGTTGATGCTTGAATGCCCTCTGTAATGTTGGTTTGGCAATTAGAATGCTATTTCTCTGAAGAAATATATCAAAATGATAAGTGTTGTGACTGAAAAATAGCTGGAAATCAACCCATTAGTGCAAAGCAGTGGCACTCCCATGTCAAAAGTGGTGGGAAGTGGGAAAAGCACAAAGTAAGCAGAATTCCTTTGGTTTGGTTTTGCTGTTGGACAAAATAGATATTTCCTTGTAATTCTAGATATTATCTTTATGTTGCCTGAGTGCTTACCCGAACTCAATCTTGAATATCATATTTTGGCTTTTGCATTTTTCAGATGAGAGTAAAAAAGAGCCTCTGGCCTCAAATTGAGGCTACTTTCAAGCAGATGGACATAGCTGCAACAGAATTAGAATGCTTTGAATCTTTGCAAAAGCAGGAGCAAGTAGCAGCATCTCACAGGATAAATAATCTATGGGCTGGAATACAGAAGCAAAAGGCACTTGAGAAAACTTTGCAAATTGGGTATGGGAGTCTAATAGAAGAGCTGGAAAAGATACAAAATATCATGGACCAATACAGATTACAAGCACAAAAGCAAGAAGAAATTGAAGCAAACAATCATGTTTGTGGGTCAAGTGAGACTGCAGCCAGTGAAACGGATACTATACAGGGTACAAAGATTTGGGAAGTTGTACCTCTCACGGTGGAGCATGGACATGCTCTAGAAGTTGATCCATCTCGTGATGGAACTGCTGTTAAGTTGCCAGATGCTACACCCATTGCAGAAGATGTCAATAAAAAAGTGGAAGTGGAAGCTGCCGGTACTGATGCCAACAGAGGAGAGACCATGCTAGAAATGGGTGCTGCTGTGGAAACAGGTAGTTATGAGAGAAATAAGGATCAAGATGTAGTTGTGGAAGCTGTAAATTCACAAGGTAACAGCATGCAAGAAACCACCGCTTTTGATGAGAAGGATAAGATGCAAGTTGCTGATGGCAGAGGGGAGGAGGCAAATAGCCTGGAGACTGTGTAGCCCGTTCTGATATTAAAGTATGACGGACATTAGGCTGCTTAGTTTCTCGATTCAGATATCAGTGAGCGTTTAACTGAATAAGTTGCATGGAGAATGAGCCCTTGTTTTTTGGAACGTATCTTAACTAAAGATGGCATTTTGTGATGATCACTAATCAAAGTTTGTAATGCATAATGAACCGATAAACTCTGCTTATCCGTAGTTTTTCTCAAATTTTGTCTTTTTTCCTTCCACTTTGTGGATTTTGGTAATGTGCTCTTCCACGTTGATGAATGACATAGGATTTTATCAATGTTATATATTTTTATCGAGTTTGGTTGCTGTATAGTAAAATTGTGTATTATTTGGTGCGATAATTATCCACTGGTTTATGTAAGTAAATAATCATGTACCTTCCTATTTTAAATCTGACTGTGTTGTATTTCACAAAGTAAAATTGAATTTGATATGATGAAGTTCACGGTTATTTATTTGTATGTACCAAAAGGTGATTTAGTGCACCAAACACTGCAGGTTTAATGATGAGGGAGGGACCAAACTCAGTTTAATCTTTCATATACATAGTGAATTAATTGTTGTGAATGATTTTCTTATCCCTTGCCATAAGTTGAGCCATTTTCAGTTTAAAATGCAGTTTCATAAATTCTTTGCAATATTAGTTGTTCGTTGTCTTTTGTCCAATCCTATGCCATAACATGTCTTTTCGGCTTGAAGTGGAGTCTGACTTGGATGGTGAGTAATCTTGCTAAAGTTTTGAGCAATGCGAGGGTCCATTTAGATTGCATACTTTTTTTGAGGAGTGCACTGAAATTCTGCAAACTGAATTAGAGAAAGGATTGATAGGCATAAAGTTTCATCAAAAAGTAAGAATTATTTTCGAATTTCTGTGCTAAGCAATTATTTTATTTTAACGACAACGTGTTGATATTTAATTAGTTTGTTTCTAAAAGTTGTTTAAAAAATTTCGAGGGAGGAACCCTTGATAATAAGACAAGGTCTTAGTATTGCATGAGACCTCAATATAACGGGTCAAAGTTGGCTAGTGAGATTATGAAAATAAGTTTATGGTACCTCAAACAATAACGGGTCAGGTCTGTCAGTGAAATGATGGAAAATAAAATTTGTACTTCATAACCTGTTAAAGAGAAATGGAGCTCGGAGCATAAAGACCGTTGGTTGAGGAGCTTTGCTTGCCACCTATAAAAGAGTACATTATAGCTCAATGATTGGACACTCCTTTTGTTAAAGATGAGTAAGACTGGGCCTGATTGTTTTTTAAAAGTTCGAAAAATTTTGATCTTAAATTATTTTGACAAAAAAAAATTTAAATTGTTAAACATAATTGAGATAAATATCTAAATTCATTTGAACCACTAATTTTATATATAAATATGTGCATTATGATGAAATAAATTGATTTTAAAAGTTTGCCAACTAAGTGATTTACCAAAATAGTGATACATAAAATTTAATTGGTGAAGGTGCATTACATATTTGAGGGAAGGACTCGTCCAACTACTAATAGATGAAATGGAACTGAAAATGCCAATTTGAGTGGCATAAGCATTAATGAAAATCTTGTTGTAAAAAAGGATAAAAGGGGTAGGCGAGCGTGAACCTATCTTTAATTATTTATTTGCTTTTTAAAAACGGTAAAGACTCATAAGATAAATAGGTCCTTTTAATATTAACTCGAGTAAATATTAATAATAATTTATGCATAAATTTACTTAATTTAATTATTATATACATAAATATGTCTTCTTCCTTTATTTTACTATCATCAACTTATTAATTTTATTAAGTACTTCTAATATAATTAATTAGTTTAACCGCTCTTAGTTTTCAGCCCTCAGTAATTTATGAACTTTTAGCTTAACTTTTTAGCCTTTAGTAATTTTTAACTAATTATGTCAAATATAAACTTAATCGAGAGACATAATTGATTAACAATGTACAATATTTTGAAATGGGAAAGATAAGTGATAATTTATTAGAAAATAATAATATTGATAATTTAATATCTTAAGAAATAGAATATAGTTTATACTCTAACTATTTTAAATATTAATTATTTTAGATATATATTTTTCATTTTATCTCATCTTACAAATTAAAAATCAATTAATTTTAAAAATCACTTTCTTAAAAAATTTCTTAAATAAATGAGTAGGTACATTAATAGTGTAAAAAATCAATTAGTCAAACGTATTTATATTTTTTCCAACTATGGGATTGGCTCGCTGAGTTGGCTTTCTACTCCAACAAAGATAAGATTCGAGTAGGTGGTTCATTACCTTACCCAAAAAACGTATTTATAATTTATAATTAAAAATATTAATAATTATTTAAAAACAGTTATTACATTAAATTAGAACAAGTGCTCTTATTTATATATATATATATATATATATATATAATTTTAGCATTGTGTAACTTTTTTTTCAAAAAATGAATAAATAAATAAATAAAAATTTAATAAACAAGTTGTTTGAAAACTCATGAACAAAATTAAATACTAATTAATTTAAAATGGAAGAAATTGTAAATAAAAGGATGAGAATTATTAAGCTGACTCATTGCCAACATGTAGAATTGTTTTTAATAATGGTTCAGATGACCATTCTCGAAAAGGGAAAAAAGACAATGCACCAAAAAAGATAATAAAAGAAAAAATGGATAAACACCAATGGCTTGCCATATTTATGAAACAGCACGATCGTTACAAAGCATCAAGTGCCACTAATTGCAATATTAGATGTTAAATACAATTTTTTAAGTCTATTTAAAAGTATAAAATTTACAATATAACTTATAATATTAACTGTTTTAATTTTTAATTAAAAACATTACTTTTTAAAGTGTGTCAAAAAGTATACAATAAATAATATTAATTTAATAAAAAATTTTAAGTATTGTAGTATTCTTATAAACAAACTGTATTATAAATTATTACACACACACACATATATATATATATATATATATATATATTATCTATTAATAATTTATTATATATTTTTTAAAATATGTATTTAGGAGTAGACAATAAGAAATTACACTATCATATTTTTTTGTTTTTTTTTTTTACTGATGCGCATTATCATATTTTGACTAGAACATCCACATCGATACCTCCAACTATTTTATCCATTATTCTTTAACTTTTCACATTTAAATAAAAAAAGGTAGAAAAATAATTAAATAAATTTTAAAAATTCAAAACAACTAAAATAAAATTTTAACCAACGTCCTTAGAACACTAATTAAAGAATTAAAAATAAAAATTTATTAAAAAATATGTTAAACCATTAAAAATCATGAGAAAAATGTATGAATAACATTTTAAAAAAAACTAAAATAAAATACAAGAGAGAGGGGTAAAAAGTAGCCCAAAAAATAGTATTTTATATTATTAATATAATTTTGTAATATTCTGTATATTTAGTAAAAGTTTATTATATATAATTTTTACTTTTTTTCTTAATTTTACTTTTAGAATTAAAATTTTATTATTTAAATGATATTTATTATAATTTTTTTCATATGATAGAAAATTTTTAATAAAAATGTATTACTTTTGAATATTTAAACTTATCTGTAAGGGCTTATTAATATTATATTAACACTATCAAAACTTCCATTACGTGTCCATGAATACACCTTAGAAAGATAATATAAAAATGTTCCCTATATAACTGTCCTAGATTGGCGTGTTTGTTTCCATTAATCTCTGCATGCAATTCAGTCTTAAGTGGTGAGTTTGAAGTAAGTCTGCGCCGCAGAGATAGCTGAATCTAATTGCAATCTTGTTGGAGAAGCCATCATCTCGTATGTTTTCTCCTACCAAATCCACCACCCATCATAACATCACCACGTTGTTCTTTTCTCAACCACTGAAACCACAATATAATAATTGAAACCGTCAACTTATCATACCTTTCTGCAAATTTCTTAACAAAGAAAAACTTGATTTCAGTATAGTTCACGGGTTGTCTTGCATGCGTCATTCTTTGCAGGTGTTGCGTTTGTTAGTGTCTTTTTTTTGTGTGTGTTTTTATGGGTATTTCGTAACTTGAGAGAGTAATTAGCTTATCTATTATTATATCTTGTCGAATTGCAGCTTCTGATGATCTTTTGAATTTTGTTTCTGAAATAGGAAAGTGGGCACTATTAATAATTTGACCTCGAGAAGAACCAATCGTGTAATGCTCTATTTCATCAGTTATCTTTATTATCGTATTTGTTATTGTTATTTGTCGTCTTATTATTATCATTATTATTGTGCTTGAATTTGAAGGTGACTGTTTCAAAATTATCCTTCCTCTCATTTTGCGGGAAAGGTTTGATGACATTTTTTTTACTCGCTAATTCTTAATAGAATTGTTCAATTCGGCTCCTAAATTCTTGGAAATTTCGTAATTTTTCTCTTTTTAAAAAATTTATTTAACGTGGATTGTGGAGACTACCATTGATAGGCATGCCTGGGCTTCTGTCTATAATTTGTCATTCATAGAATTTTGTGAAAGCTGCTAGTATAATAAAAAAAAATACCGATTATTTGTACCTTACAATTTTTTTAAATTTTTTTGTTTGTTTGTCCCTCCATAATTAACTAGTGACTCTCAATTATTGAATTTGAATCCAACAATGGTGGCAGAGAAATGTCACTGTTAGCATCAGTTTGTGTAAAATTGGTGATGTAATTCTGTTTTAATTATATTTGTGAACAAATGGAAATGGTGAGAAACCGAGAATGGTAATTGATTTTTAATTTTGGTTTGTTTTAGCTCAAGAGAAAATGGTAACTAGAATTGTGGATCTTCGGTCAGACACAGTGACAAAGCCAACTGAAGGAATGAGAGCTGCTATGGCAAATGCTGAAGTTGATGATGATGTTCTAGGCTATGATCCAACGGCTTTTAGCTTAGAAACAGAGATGGCAAGGACAATGGGCAAGGAAGCAGCTCTTTTTGTTCCATCTGGCACTATGGGAAACCTTATATGTGTACTTGCCCATTGTGATGTTAGGGGAAGTGAAGTTATTCTTGGAGACAATTGCCATATTCATATTTATGAGAATGGAGGCATTGCAACAATTGGAGGGGTGCATCCAAGACCAGTGAAAAATAACGATGATGGAACCATGGACATTGATTTGATTGAGGCTGCTATCAGGGATCCAGTGGGGGAGCTAATGTACCCAACCACCAAGCTTATTTGCTTGGAAAATACTCATGCAAAGTAAGCAATTTTTTTGGTTAAAAAGGTTTCTTTTAGATTGACTCTCATAGTGATCTTAATACCATGCAGTAGTTTACAATTACATTTTCTACATTATTTCATATGCTTTTAATAATTTCTGCTACCCGTGGAAAAAAAAAATAGTTTATCATGCCAAATTGTTAAGCGTAAGTTGGCTCAATGTTTACTAATATTTATAAACTTTATATAATGTATATTTTGATAGTTGGGTCTGCCTATTATAAAGCCTTCAATGATTGCTTCATAATTTTTATTTTTTACCATTGCCGCATGATTGCCCATGTAGCGTTACTCAAGATATGGGCAGTGATTTCTTAATGCAGTGACTTCTCTTCATTGTTCTGTCCATGCAATTTATTAACTTTCTTTAGGATTTTAATGTCCCCTCCTATTAGTAATTGATTCAAATTTATAGAAGATTTATGACCCATTTTACCTGAATGCAGCACTGGTGGCAGATGCCTCTCAGTTGAATATACAAACAGAGTTGGAGAGGTTGCTAAGAAGCATGGACTGAAGCTTCACATTGATGGAGCCCGAATTTTTAACGCATCAGTTGTACGTAAATTTGTATTTTACTTATGATTTCTTTAAAATATTTATAATAAAGCTTTATGTTGCCTAAGATGATTTCTTTTACTTACTGAATATATGCATTTTGTGTAAATAATATTTCACATCAAATAATCTCCAATAATGAACATAGAATGTACTGAATCGTGTGTGTAGATCTGGCACTGATAACTGCATCGCAGAGTTCAATGCCAAAATGAGCATTTTGCTAGTGTGAATAGTTGGGGAAAATTTTATATTTAATTTACACCTCAGGGCTTAGTTATGACAACATTTTGAGACAGATCAGCTAGAAATGACCAATGAAATCACTTGTTTTTCATTGATGTAATTTTTCACCTGTTTGCACCTTAATCTTGGCTATTATTTTTCTATGCATCAAATAGAAAAAGAGAACTTCTAAGAAATGTGAGCTCCTTTTAAAGACAACTTGATGGAAAATGTTCAACCGCAATAATGTCTACTTCCAAAATCTCATAATAATCAAAGAACTTTCAGATCCTTGTATCTAGCTGAAGCATTGTGAATACTGAAATATCTCTGTAACTATTCTCTTTACCAATGAACTATCAATTAAAACCACGATATAAGCTTTTAGATGGGTTGTCCTGTTGAAAACCCTGCAGTGACTTTCCATCTGCCATTCTATCCGCATGCTTAGCTGCACTTATATCCTGTTATATATCTACATTCAGTTTTCTGCTTACTGTTCCATTACTTTTTTGTTTTTCCTCCCTGCTAACAGAATCAATCTACAGAATTGTTTAACTGAAAATTTTGGTTTTTCAGGCACTTCGTGTTCCAGTGCATAGGCTTGTCCAAGCAGCTGACTCGGTTTCAGTATGCTTTCTTTTCCTTTTCCTTTTTGCCTAAGATTTAGTATTGCCTCTTGGTTTTGGCAGTTTTACATTTTATTGAAGAGAATTTCAGAGGAATAATTTATTACCCATTTCAAATCAAACTTGTATATGTTACTTCTCTACCTTATATTGAATAATAATCAAATGAACTGACTTCATGATTCCTTTTTAATTATGAATTAGGTTTGCCTATCAAAAGGTATCGGTGCTCCAGTAGGATCTGTTATTGTTGGTTCCAAGAATTTTATAGCCAAGGTAACTCAATAAATTTTTAGAGAAGTTAATAGCAGCTATTTTCTCCCAAAGGACAGATACTTTAGTCTAGCTGTGTTTTTATAGGCTAGACGACTCCGGAAAACCTTAGGAGGTGGAATGAGACAGATTGGGGTCCTTTGTGCTGCTGCACTTGTTGCCTTACAAGAAAATGTTGGCCAGCTGGAATTTGATCACAAGAAAGCTAGATTTTTGGCTGGTAAAATTTCAAACAGTTTTACATGATGCCATATTGTGTCCTAGTCTGTTTGAGGAATTATAATTTATTAAAACTCACTAACTTTTTTCTTTTAAAGTTGTCTTTCTCCTATAATTTTTTACTTCATTTCAGATGGATTAAATGAGATAAAAGGACTGAAAGTGGATTCGTGTTCTGTGGAGACCAATATAGTGAGTAGTTAGTATAGTGTTACTTATCTAAGCTAGTGAAACTTCATTATCGCTCTGATTACCTCTGTTTTGAACAAGATTTATTCTTGCTTGATTATGTGTCATGCTTTTGTCCCAACACTAGGGCTACAATGCCAAGTGCCAACAACTTAAATGTTAAATAAGAATCAATACCTAGATTAGAGATTTTTGAAGATGCATAATAACTATGTTAAGTTGAAAGTGCCATAAATGACAATTTTTTATTTATCCTTATGATAAATTAAAATAAACTTAATTTATTTATCATCACAATTCATAAGTGATATATAATTCTCTTAATCTAAAATTAAAAAATATGTCCTCCCCTCCCTTCCCCTTCAAAACACCTCTCTCCCATACAATCCCTAGATAGCTAACTTTTCTTTCCCTGATATACTAGGTATATATTGACATTGAAGAGGGTTCAATGACTACAGCAGAAAAGATATGCAAGTACCTGGAAGAACGTGGTATCCTTCTGATGCAAGAGAGTTCATCAAGGTCTTGTTTTCCCTTAACAACAGTCAGTCTGTTATAAATAATTAAAATAATTGCTAAATATAAAATGAAGTTAGGTCCAGCACTGAGTCTTACTGAGCCTTAATGCACTTAATTATTACATGAACCACGCATGCTACTAAAATGTTTCACTTGCTATTTGCTGTCTAGTATCTCCTTATTTGTGAGTCCAAACGTAGAAAGTAAATGAACATGCTGATCTTGTCTGTATTTTTATTAGCATGACTTCTGTCAGTGTGACAATGTTTATACATCTTATGACTATTCAAATATTAGAGATAGATGATATTTTTTGTTTTAGTTGCTATTTCTTGACTAGAATCTGATATTGGTGAGCTCCAAAATCTTCTTCTGATTGCTGCTTGGCCAATATTTTTTATTCTCTCTTTCTATACGTGAAGTAATTTGTTCTACTTTGTGGACTACGGGCTAACATAGACAAGAGGCTGATGACAGTGTCTATTTATTCCAGATTGAGAGTTGTTCTACACCACCAAATATTAGCGAGTGATCTGCAATACGCCTTGTCATGCTTTCAGGTGATGATGAATACAATTCGATTAAGCGCTTGTTCAATGGATCCAATATGCGTTGTTCACTTGTTCTTTTCCTACATTGAATGAATGTTAGAAGATGAAACTTACCTTTTTGTTACATATTGCAGCAAGCTGTTAAGGGAGTACAAAATGAAATTGGCAACTAGTGGAAGTATTGGAATTTGGCACTCAGCTGCCATAGTAGTATTTCAAGATGAATTTGTATTCCATTTCCCTTTGTTTATTTTCTTTACTCTAATGAACCCTAAAGAAGGGTGATTTAAAACTTTGATCTCTATGAATTGTTTTGACTTTAATCACCGTTCCCCTGCTAATTAAAGGATATATTGCTTTACGGGTCATTGTTAAGTGTTCCATCACTAGCTACAGGGTAGTGAATCGTAATTTTTTTTAATTCATTATTTGTTGTTAAGTGAATAGTAATTCATATTTTCTACATTATTTTTAATACATATTTATTTTTTGCTATTTTTATAGCTTCGTACCGTATTTTCTATGTAACTCTGACATTATGGTCTTGTAATTCATTTCTAAAAGAAACGAAACTTATTAACTATGGGACAAATTCTGAAAATCCTAACAAAAATGTAACTACATAATTCTTATTACTTATCAAATCATGTCTACAAGGAGGTTTGTAATACATATAAACAGGTTAATTTTACGCTCACAAGTATTTTCTTTATAGTGAGTTTGTAACTTTACTATATATATATAATGTTAAAATCTAAGAAAAAAAAGTATTTGAAAAAAAGTTATAAAATAAATTATTTTAATAAACTGTATTTTAATGTAAGTGCATATTATGTTGCATAATTTTATAAATTTAAATGGTTGAATCATTGAGATTTAAATGACAGTTGTTTTCCAAAACTAACAAAAATTAATTTTATCATTCTTTTATTGGTTATGATTATTAACACGATTCATATTCAAAATGTCAAATTAAAATTATTTAATATTAAATTATATAAAAAATTAATTTAATGATAATAATAGAAGAAACATGTAAAATAAAAATAAAATTCTGGACTAAACGTGGTAGAAGCACCATTGGACTTTTTGCAGAAGAGGGAGTGACCTAACTTTACAATGATTTCTTTAAACGCTATATTTATATTTGGTCTACAAAAAGAAGTTACGTATCGACATTTTTTTACTATCTTGTAGCATGTGATTTTCTAAAATCTTATAAAAACACCAGTAGGAAGACTTCTTGTGAAAGTTGTTAGATATACATTATATTGCTAGTTAAAAAAATAAATCTATGACTTTAGAGAATAGCATATAAGACAAGCACAACACTGGTAACTTAGACCCTATAATTTCCAACAATTTGATTGGTTATACTTAAGTTACTTGATATCAGCAGTTATTCTAAATACACGCACCTTTATTAAGGAGCCAAACGTACCATAAATGAGTGTTGTGCATGTGGTAGCAATGTTAAAAAAATAACGTAATTAAAGATTTGTTTGGTCAAGCATACCTCCCAACAATACAACAATTTCTTTTCAATCAAACCAGTAACATAAAGAAAAATTGTTACCAAGCAGATAGAAGAACAGAAGATTTTTTGGAAGAAGAATGACTAAAAACAACTATTCTCAGTCATCACAAATATACATTCAAATATATCAATAATGAATGAGTTTGGAAGAAAAATGACTAAAAATAATCAGATTGTAAGGTAAAGAAAAATACTTAAATCAAATTTTATGAGTGCATTATAGTACCTTAATGAGTTTATATTGATTGATCCACTCATTTTTTTACGTCACATTATAGATTAAAAAAAAAAGTAGACTAAAGCATTTATTTTTGAGTAATAACTTTAATAAAATAGATTATAAAATTTTTAGTGATATTGTGATATTTGATGCAACACATAAAGAATTAGTTTCATTGTCTAATTGTGGTATTTTTCAAGTATAAATTATACCAACCAAATTATTGTGCTTGTTATTCTAGTTATAGAAGCTGAAACTAAAAGAACTTATGTGTGGCTATTAGAATAATTCATTGAAGCAATGGAAGATAAGACACATGTATAAGTTAATATGGATAGTGATGTGGCATTGAGAAATACCATAAATAGGATGTAGCCAAATGTGCACCATAGATTGTGTGTTTTGTCTTTAACTTTTTAATTCAACTATGAATGTTAGGACTCCTGGATGTTATTTGATTATGATGTAGATAAGTTTCAACGTAAATCGAGTGAGATTGTGGATAAGTTAGATTAGTGAGAGAATGATTAGGTTACAAAGATGTATCAAAAAAGGAAGATGTGATTCATATGTCATATAAGTGTTTTTTTTTTTTTGTTGGCCTTAAAACTACTCAAAGCGGAGTTTGCACTCATAAAATGGAAGATTTGTTAACTCACAATGTTGTTTAACAAAAATTTTACTAACTTTATTACTGTGCTTGAATCGCATTGCATATAAAGAACTTGAGACCGACTTATCATATGCCTACTGATCCAATATTGTAAATAAATTATCAAAGCATGGAAAAGACAGGTGTTAAGACATTTATATGGCAGTTTTTTTGTTGTTTCATACTACACTTGTTAAGTCATTTACAATGATTTGTAGTTCAATGTTAAGAGATATTTACATAAATTATTTATCTATTTAAATATGAGTACCAAAAGATGGAATTATTTGGTCTTTCATATGACCATATTCTGCACTGCTTATTTTTCTTAACACAGTAGAATTGCCAACATTTCTAATATTGGATAAATAGACAAAGAATACAAAGGATTTAGTTTAAGGCATTTTGAATAATAGATTAAATTATTGGTACTTACATTCCATGCATAAACTTGTTGTATTGATGTATCAATATAAGGAGTTGGGTATACTTGTTTGTCAAAGTTTAGAAAATTTTTACTGTAAAAAAGATAAATCACTACAACACTTAAGGTTCTCAAGTGAAAAGTAATATTTCTATAAGTCAAAATGACACAGCAAGAGTTAACATTGGGCATAATGGATTAAGGGATCCAACTACTATTAGGAGTAAAGTTAGTCATAATCAATTCTCATCATATATAGAAAAGAAGTTCAAGAAAGTGCTCAAGATGTAAAAGTAATGATCATAATAAGATTACATGTACATCACTTAAGCAGTTTCAGTAAATGACACAATCTGTATTTGAATCATTTTTCATATCAAAAGAAGGTGACATGTCTATAGAAAATGAGAATAACAATGCATAGTCATCCCTCCTCCAAAACCATGGGATTGCCCAACAATGTGTTGATCTCATTCAAATCATAAGACACCACTGACCTACAGAACCAAGACTTCTTGCAAATCAATTTAGGTATCAACGACTAAGTTGTCAAGCTACTCTCTAAAGATGTAACAATCTTAGTACCTGCGGCTCACAATCACTAGTACTTTGATTGTCACACTACTACAGTGTCTTGCTCACCCAAAATCTTAAAATTATCTTTTTCTTTCTAGCTCAATGCAACTTGGATGCAAAATTAGTCCACATTTTTTTTTGTTCTTTTTCTTTTTCATTCAGCTAAGTATGAAAACTTAATTTACATACAATCTTTATACTCATGAAGGCAAAAATAATAAAGATCGTGTCTAACTCGACATACAATAACAATGTGGTGCTTAGAGTATTGATTTTTTTGTTAATAATAATTTCTAGGACAATTTTTGAAAATTTTCACAAAAATGTAACTACTTAGCTCTTCTTACATGTCTATGAAGAGGTTTGTAATACATGTAAACAATGCTAATTTTACATTCACAAGTATTTTATTTATAATGAGTTTTAAAATTCACATGAAATTTCAAGTATATATTAAAATATCATATTTAAGGAAAAAAGTAAAATGGTGACATATATATATATATATATATATATATATATATATAATGTTAAAATCTAAGAACAAAAATGTATTTGAAAACCAAGTTATAAAATAAATTATTTAAATAAACTAAATTTTAATTTAAGTGCATATTATGTTGCATAATTTGATAAGATTAAATGGTTGAATTATTGAGATTTAAATAAGATGGTTTTTCCTAAAACTAAATTTATAAAATTTATGTCTATTTGTTGTTTGCAATCGAAACACTAGCAAGTGCATTAGGATTGCAGCAAGTAATGAGTAAATTTAAGATCCGAGTATCGTCTCCACAGGGAATTAGGAACTCAATTATCACTTCACAGAAAAATAACCATCTGAGCCATACGAATTTGGGAAGAGAGTTGTATCATATAAAAGCAATAATCAGAGCAATCAAAAGTAAAGAACTTGCAGAAAAATAGAGTATAAGATTTGTGATGAAATGAAATAGCAATGAAGGATAGTTAGGAATTTACTTCACAAGAATATCAATATCAATCCAATTAAATCCTCTGAACATTCAAGCAATTGAATAATTGACAATTAGTTTCACATATACCTAGCCAAAGGTTAATTCCTTAACTCATTGACCCTAACAATCCACTAAACCTCCCTAATCCCTTAGGTGAGATTCAATTTCAGGTTGCATTAAGAATTAGAACTATAAGATTGCAGAATTAGGTCTCCTTATCCCTAAGAAATCCCTAAACTCTGGTTGCCAATTCAGATTGGAGCAAACAATCCAATTCCCATTGGTAAAGATTCCTCTTGATTAATCAAATGAATTTCTATTCAAAGATTGCATGAAAAGCAGAATTAACAACTCAATTAATCCAAGAACTTAAAGTTTAGAAGATAAAGTCGAATCAATACATCAATTCGAGTTCCATAAACCCCTAACTATGGGAAATTAAGCACACATTGCAACAAAAACAGAGAAAGAAGAAGATGAAGATGAATTTATAGAAACCCCAGTTCTGCGCGTTGTCACTTTTCTTCACAAGAGTAACCACGCAGAAGCTTTATGTAGTGCGCGTGTTCACTTTCAAGAGCAAGAGTAACCACGCGCAACTTGCAGATTTGAAGGCTTCTCTAGAACATTCACTTTAATTCATAAGAGTGGCAACGCAGGAGGTCGAGGGCTGCCCGTGATCACTTTCGTGAGTAATAGTAACCATGCGCAAGCTGTCCTGATACAAGTGTCTCTGGAACGCTCACTTTCGTTGGTGAAAATGACAACGCGCAGCTCATCAAGAATGAAGTCTCTCTGGAACGTTCACTTTCGTTGGCGAAAGTGATAACGCACACTGGCAACGCTCACTCTTGTAAATAAAAGTGATTACGCACAGGCTCCTCTTCTCATTTAGGCTCTGGAATGATCACTTTCACTAACAATAGTGATCACGCCCAACCTGCATCCCATAATTCTTGTATTTTGGAGTCCAACATTG